GTTATTCTAGTACTTGAAATAGGTATATTCAAAAAGATTTTTCCAGATCTTTTGTTGACAGTAGACCAAGAGTGCTGTCCAGCGCTGTGGAGATTTTCCTAGTACACCGTTGGTCGTGTAGTTGCAGCATAGCTGAGGTGACCGACTGGGTTTACTGTGTTTGCCTTGACGAATGAGTCTTGCCGCCAGTATGCAGCCTTGCATGTGTCATAGACGAGAATGTGTATGTGGGTAGGTAGACGACTGATCACTGCTGCCAAGGCCAAGGTCAAGGGTTGTCGTCCCCGTGCTACACATGTTACATGTTGGCTCTCTGTTTGTCTTCACCTGGACGCATGTACAGTTATTAAACCTGTCAAGGCGACCACTCGGATAAGGCGACCACCTGTCCCAGGAGATCACTGCAGCCAGGACCAAGGGATGCTATTTCCAGTCAAATGCCACTGGGATAAAGAGACCACCTTGCTACAGAGACCCCACTTTGAAAGTCCCTTGAGCAGTCGACTAGACAAGTTTCACTGTATCATCATCTTCAGCCAATGTTTGGTTTCCTTCTATGTAGATACATGCAGATTAAGCCAGACATCTCACTTACAATAATGTTCCAAGTGCCAGTTGAGTTCTAATACGTTCACCATGCATGCATACCATGACATGAAAATATAAATGTGTCTCCGTGCTCGCCATGTTATTTTATATAGAAAGAAAGCAAACACAGCAATCATGGCAAAGCGGAAAATAGATTTTTTTTACAGAAAGTGATCACAGTACAAGTATACCTGTTGTATAGGGCATGCACAAGGCGTTAGGGCATCGAAGTGGGCTAGCCAAAATCCGCACACACTAAGTAGTTTATTGCTCATTATGTAGCATATACTGTAACACGTGTAGTTTTCCTCACTGTTTATTTCTATTGCATGATTTGCATCAGGAGATCCCCTCGACAGGCCATCGCCTCTGGGAGATCCTTTAAATAAAAATACTTCTTTGAAGTAATTATAAATAAAATAGTTAGTTGATGATAATGTAACTATGGATGTAGCATTCGTAGGCCTTGACGGATTATGCTAGCATAATTTTTCGCATAATTCCTTCCAGAATCGAATAATCGCATAATTCGAGGCAAATTGCATACGAATCGCATAAAATTGTAATAATCCGCCTGTTCGCATCAAATTCCATACAGTTGAACATGTTCTACAAGTACAAGTACAAGTAGATGCACTAGGATAGTAGGAAGTAGGTTTACGACTCCCTTGGCCTTGATGATATGTCCAGTCCACTACAATCAGTGATGGTCGTAGCCAGGTCGGACGATGCATTGACCCCGTTGAACTTTTGCTACTAGTACTACAGTACAACCTACTCTACAAAAAAATTCCCTTGTTATTTTGCACAGAACCATTTTGCATTAGCAGCGTATGTGAGCATAATGCGGCATAATATGGTAACTTTTACCATAAAAACAGCATAATTCTGCAATTTTTTCAGCAATGCGAAAAGCATAATTTCACGAAAATATTAGCATAATCCGTCAACAAGATGGTCAAGGCCTAAGCATTCGACGCATCACCCAGTGCACACTAGTCACAGAGCAGCACGCATCACCGTTGTTACAATAGCTTCACGCCTAAATAGGCAATCATCATACAACTGATAATGGTTCAATAGTGCTCGCGTCCTTAAGGTGGCGATCTACCTTCGCGGATAGTCCACCGTAAAATACAAACATCTCAGCCAATTCTCTTTGGAATTAGGTCAAATTTTCTGGAGACATTCATTATGTACCAAAGGACAAGGAGCAGCACAAATAGAGGACAGACTCCGCTCATGTCCATTGTTATCGCCGAATCGCGATAATTGGCCGCACCCGCACCTCTTAACCGCAAAATTGAAATATGCATCCATCAAGTAGAAAATAACCAATTGCTACAGTGTTCCTAACATATATTTCTAGGTACTGAATATCAAGAAACAGTTGCAAAGTCCTTTAGATCACAATGTCACAACAAAGCGTTTTGACGCGCGCATCCGCAAAAAAAGTCATGATCGGGTCCACAACCAATGTGAGAACAAGCAATGATAAATGGCTAAACGAAGACATTCACGAACTAGCTGATGCATCACAGAGCTCAGAAATGTATAGGTTTAGGGGTATAGCACCTACCACTTTGCCGCAATCGTGGTAGAAAAATGCGGGATAGGCTAAAAAGTTACCAAAAACACACAAAAAAGGTCTATCCAATTCCAGCCTACCTGCCTACAAATCTTCACATCAGAAGCCATCTGGCTCGTAGGTGACCTCATTTTGGTCTCCTTGATGATTAGTAATGCTCTTCTTCAGTCTTCTTTACTTCTTCCTTGACTTCTTTGTCACTTCCCACAAGTTCCCAGCTCTTCCTGGTTGTATCACAATGGTGTTACTTAGTGCGGTGCCGAGCAGAAACGCGATGCTATCTGGTTTCAGTGTTCAGCTAGAGTCTTCTTTTCTTCTCTAAGGGCTTGTTCAATCAGGATCATTGCAGGCAAAATCAAGTCGGAAACCCAGCCTTCACTGGTGGCCTCTCTCCATGCGTATGGCAATATAGGTGCTGATGAATGAGGCATATCCAGGGTGCAGCCATGCCGTTTCCGTCACACATCACGGCGATCGCATGCGGTTGCAGCACTGCCACTTTGGTAAATTGCCTCAGATCCAGCGTAGCAGATCACATGTCTGCTTCTGAACTCATCTCGGAGAACATGACCACAGATTGAATAGGATCGCGTTGCCGCCACAGGTCTTAGTATATATGGGCAGTAGAATATTGAAAACTATGCAAAGCGTCACTGGCGGTGATGAATTCGGCGCATACTAAATGCAGGCCTGTGGACTTCCAATTTGAAATTGAATTTCTCAGAACTGAATGGACTTCTCTTCTCACCACACACAATCGTCAATGAAATCCCAAGGCAAATATCTGGGTTTGCCTGCTCGCTTAGTAGATCTACGATGGGATGTGGACTGGTACAGCTGACAGCATACTGATTTGACCAGAAATAGCAGAAATCACTCAATATTTCACAGACTAACTCCAGTAGGCTATATTTTGCACTCACTGCCTGACGCCGAAAGAGAGAGAAAAACTAATCACCACAATGGCTAGAACTGTTGTTGACATCGTCATCGTCAGAGTAGTCAGAGTTGGAGATGAAGTTGAAATACGTCTTCGCTTGGCAATTTTTTTGCCAATAAATTTGAACAGCGTCGTCAACGTCAGGGATATTTTCAGCGGATAGATGGATATCGAGAGCTTCTGGCAGTAATATAGGCTGCTTCGGGCATCCAAGACGACGGACAGTACTCATTCCACCCGATCTTGGTGACAGGCGACGACGTGAGACGTCTCCAATAGACTTTCCAAACACAATTGTTTGAATTCTTCACAAATTATCGAATTATTGATTTGCGCATGCGCACTGTGTCCATGATGACGTAATATGTGCGTATTGGTATGGCATGAGTCAGCAGTGGTATTTCTGACGAGCACAGAAAATTTGAACAAAATCCACAAGGATTTACCGTGAAAAGACTGATTTCTACGTTTTCCCCCAAAAAGTTGCAATTGTGCGTGTCAAAGATATGTTACATTCGGTCTTTGCAAGCTCATAGCAGCCATATGGATAAAGCAATCTCACTCAAATTTTCAGAGATGATGTCTGGGATCTATACGAGCAATTTGACACCGAATTGGACGAAATTAGAGCAAGTTGAAAATTTCACAAAATTTTGACCCCTGAAGGTAGATCGCCACCTTAAGGGGGCACATCACCCAAAAATTCGCTGAAAAATCGAATTTGTAAATTCATATTGAGTGCTACGTCAGTTGAAAGAGCATGAATAGCTGCAAATTCTCTGAAAACTGTGTCCCTATCTGACCAGCCGTTCAAGAGTTATGGCCGAAAATGTGCCCTTGCAAGGAAAGATTTTTTTGTCGCATGCTGTCATTTGTCCAAAAAAGTCCAAAAAATCACGTTAAAAAACCACGTATTGGGCTGCACGGCGGCGGGCGAAGCCCGCCGCCGTGCAGCAGGACTTTTGCCAGCACCCTCGTGACGTTCCAGATATGTGGCTTGATTATTGTAGTTGACGTTGATTTAGTGACTTTGGCAAGTTTGAGTCGTGTCAAGAAGTCAGGTAGGATTCAGTACTAGGCAGTAGTGAAACGTTAGTGGCAGTCTTTGCCGGTTTCTGAGGGCATCCTGGATTTGGTGTGCAGCGCTGTGGAAATGGCTTGCTGTGGAGGTCCCAGCACTGGATGTTGTATCAAAGGTACGACCTCGTAGCACGTGCCAAACCTAAAAAAATTCAAAAATTGACTTGGGTCTGTGGGAGTCCGTGAAAGAACGCCCACTCGTTCCGTTGTGACAGATTCCAGGGCCACGTTGAGGGGCCGTACCCCACCACCCATGGCTGCTTCTGGACTTGTTTTAGGTTTGGGTCCCGCGCACGGACAGAATGGGCACGAAAATGTGAAAAAAATGTAAATGCATTTGTTTGGCTCCTGGGTGGCTCGCACACCGTAGCACTATGCCGGAAATTTGAGTTTTTCCGGCCTGGAAAGCCTGTCAGTGAGGCGCAAGAACTTGTAAATCATGTCCTGAGGGCCAGCATAGTGGCAGGAGTGTGTGGTCAAAATTTCACTCAAATCCACTGAGAAACACCAAAGTTACGGTCAATTGAATGCCATATGAAATTTTTGGGTGATGTGCCCCCTTAAGGGGGCACATCACCCAAAAATTCGCTGAAAAATCGAATTTGTAAATTCATATTGAGTGCTACGTCAGTTGAAAGAGCATGAATAGCTGCAAATTCTCTGAAAACTGTGTCCCTATCTGACCAGCCGTTCAAGAGTTATGGCCGAAAATGTGCCCTTTTTTCCGCGAGTTTCCCCTGGGACAGAAAATGTCACTTCATAGCTGTGTGCCACAGTGTGGTGTAGACCAGGCTGAATAGTGCCTAGTCACTAGTGGCGGTCAGGATTCCAAGCTGTTGAATGGTGCGTTAGTTGCCATGGCTTTTGCTACTTTTCACCAGTTGTAGTCTTCGGGGTGCTAAGTCGAATGGTCTTGCGCTAAATCCATCAGCGTTCCCTTTTTTCCCTAAATCCCAGCGTGATTTAACCCTAGTATCTCTGAATTGTCGCTCTGTTGTCAACAAGTTGTCTGAGCTCTGCGTTATTGCCGAATGTGCTAAGCCTGACATAATCTGCCTAACAGAGACGTGGCTCTGTCCCTCGAACCCGCTCTCACTGTCAGGCTATATCTGCATCCGCAGAGATCGACCTCCGGAAGACAATCGGTAAGCACATTGTAGCCGTGGGTATGGGGGTGTTGCCGTACTTGTCCGTTCGGACTCCTTTCCTTACGTCTCCCCTCGTGCCGACCTTCAACGCCCTGGCTGCGAGTCTGTGTGGCTTGAACTTGGCTCCCCCTCTACTCAATCTCAGAATCACATCTTACTATGCTGCATGTATCGACCACCCTCACAGAGCACAATGCAATTGTCGTACTTTTGTGACATGTTTGTTGAGGCATTACAGTCAGTCTGTTTAGATTCTTATGATCTGTTAGTGACTGGCGATTTCAACGCCCACAACTCAAGCTGGTGTCCCACCGAGTCTACCTCGAAGGCTGGTGATCTCCTTAGCACAGTATTTGCTGCTCTTGGGCTCCACCAGATGGTTGACTTCCCCACTCATTCCTCGCCTAATGGCTCTGTTTCGTGTCTGGACTTGGTGATCACCAACCGACCACGCCTCATGCGCTCAATTGATCAAGCACCTCCCTTGGGTATGTCTGACCATATACAGATTGTTTGCACTTTATGTTACGCCCCTATTTCGAACTACTTCCCCAACTCTTCCACTGGTCCTCCCTCTTCACTGTATCGCTTCAAACAAGTACCTTCGCACCTTTGGCAATTAATCAACGCTGATTTAGCTGGCTACAACTGGTCCTCTCTGAACTCGTACACTGATGTTAATGACGCACTTCATCACTTTGATTGTGAGCTCCAGTCCGCCTTCCGTCGTCACCTCACCTCATTCGGAGCCACCCACACTGTGACATCTCCACGACCCCGCATGCAATCTCCACCATGGGTTACTGCTGGGCTCAGGTCTGCTGTAAAACGCAAGCGTGATCTATATAGTGTGTACAAAAAATATCCGACAGCAGTAAATCATGCAGCTTATAACCGACAAAGGAATGCTGTAAAGCACCTGTCTCGGCAAGCACATCGTCAATATATACGCTCCATCCAAGCATCACTAACGTCACCGAATCGACCTACACTCTTTCAGTTTGTGCGAGCACAGCGGCACACTTCCGGCCGTGTCATGCCCCAAACGATGATAGCATCCGACGGTACGGTCGCCACGTCCCCCAAGAGCATAGCTGATATTCTGAACACTCAGTTCACCTCATTTGGGCTGGCTGATGATCCTTCGTGGCGCATTCCCCCTTTGCCCCAGTCGCCTTTCATATCTGTTCCGTTCCGTACAATCACTGTCGACATGTCACTACGTTTCAAGTTCGGAAATATCCGAAGCGCCTGAAATGTGGAAAGTCTCCCGGCTCAGATGGGATCCCGAATGAAGTGCTGCAGTCTCTTGCACCATCAATAGCCTATCCTCTCGCCATTATTTTTTTAAATATGTCATTTCGAACTGGTACATTCCCACAGGATTGGAAATCCGCCATCGTGACACCGCTTTACAAGAATAAAGGCTCCCGTGCTTGCCCGGCAAACTACCGCCCCATCTCTCTGCTGCGCACAGTTTCCAAACTTTGTGAGCGTATTGTATTCGATTCCCTCTACCTGCACATCGCTCCGGCTCTCTCACCAGCTCAGTCGGGATTCTGCCGTGGTGACTCAACTCAATACCAGGTGACTCGACTTGTCCAAGACATAGCGACAAAGAGGAACTGTGGGGAGCACGTGGGAATGGTGTTTTTCGACTTGGCTAAGGCATTCGACACCGTTTGGCATCGTGGCTTACTTGCCAAGTTGGAGGTCACCTTCCGGGTGGAGGATGCTGCCTTGCGTTGGATATCCTCGTATCTGTCTGCTCGTTCTCAGGCTGTTCGCTTGTCCTATTTCTTGTCTGATCCCCTCCCTGTAACGTCTGGAGTGCCCCAAGGTTCCATTCTGGGTCCTTTGTTATTCTTGCTTTACGTTAATGACCTACCTTCAGTTGTCCCCGATGTTAGTTTGTATGCGGATGACACTGGCCTTATCTGTTCTGATTCCTCCCCTGCACAATTACTCTTTACCATGCAGCATCGCATCAACAGCACTGTCATGTGGATGCAAACGTGGAAACTCCAGCCCAATATAGACAAGACAGAAGCCATGTATATTTCTTCATCCCCTCCTGATCAACCATTATACTTCCCTGACTCGACTATGCCTATCCGTGTTGTTACTCAGCACAAACATCTAGGTGTGATGTTTGACTGCAAACTCTCTTGGGCTGCACATGTCAACTGTGTATGCAAGCGAACCAGTTCAGCATAAGGGGTACTACAACCACATTGCACTCATTTGCCCATCCAGCGTAAACTATTATTTTATCAGTGCTATATTCTCCCTATATTCGACTATTGCGATACCGCTTGGTGTGGCCTTTCTGACACAACTCTGAACCAATTAGAAGTCCACCATAGATTTACACTTAAAATTCTTTACAACAAGGATCGATGTTTTCCTTCGGATGCCCTTTATCGACTTGCACACACTTCTCCTCTCTCCGTTCGTCATAAGCACCATCTCTGTACACTGGTTCATAAAATATTTCTTCATAAAACCCCTTCACACATGATGAAGTACAATTGGTTTTCGACAAACTCAACCCGTAACGCGCTCATCCTGCCTCTTGTTAATGGCACAAGGATTCAGAGAATCCTTCAGTAGTCTAGACATTTGTCTTCACCATGCGGTCTGGCCTTTCGGTGTTCTTTTGCAATGAATAATAACAGGGTAGTCTGTGTAGTTTTCCTGTGGATTCCCGGTGGATTTTAGAATTGAGATGTGCTAGACGCATCAGAATTCAGAGATTGTGTAGGTACTGGAACGAATCGAGCAAAAACGGATGGGCTCGTGCGAGAAATTGAGAGTTTGAATGCATGCTTTCAGAGCGTGATGAAGGCAAGTAACTTAGTTACGTAATCATGGTAATGAAGGCGCCTAGGCAGCGCGCCACGCGTACGCATGCACCCATAATCACAGTTGCATACTCTTGCCGTTATGGACTCTTGGTAGTAGTACTAGTAGTCTACAGTCAGTACAGACTAGAATTAGCGCCTTGTGGTGACAAGGTGACTCATTTTCGGATTTTCTTCAATCTCTCCCGGCCCTGCCTTTGGCCCTTTGGCGTTTGTAAAAATAATGTAGTTCAATTAGTCATGTACATGATCACTGTAGAAACAGTTTTTTTCTCTTTCAGATACTGATAGTAAAAGCAAGTAATCATTTTTACTAGATAAGTTTACTGCTGCTCCATTTCGATAGCACGGATACAACGTCAGTCGTGTTGAGTGCTGTGAAGAAAGCGGTCATGTGGTGCCGCAATCAAGTGTTTCTACCTGGCGACGAGGTTGGCGATGAACGCGCCTGCGATCAGCTACAAGATGTTGAACAGCGCAAAGCTGAATGTGCCGCTAACTCTTCAAAGCAAGAGTCGGACGAACAGGACGAAGTGGCCGCATCGGGTGGGACTGAGCCCCAAGCTGAAAGGCGACCGAGTCAGGACAGTACAAATGTGGTGAAACCCCAGTTTGCATTGACCAACAAGGATAGAAAGAAGCTCTGGGAGAAAAAGAAGTCCGAGGCTATAAAAGTGTACTTTACTGAAGATCATCCGAAACGTGATCAAGTGCTACCCATTGCCAGCGAATGGAGCCAACATTGTAGTATTTCATTCGTTGAAGTGACAGATCGAAGCGACTCGGAAGTGCGAGTGTCTTTCAAGGAAAAGGAGGGCTCGTACTCCCATGTGGGGACGGATGCACTGCCGGTAAGTCATGCCACAGTTCCCGTGTGCAATAATGATACGTGATCATGTATGCATACATACAAGTAGGTACAGTCATGTAGAGTTGTGCCCAATGAGGGACGCTATCACCCTCAGATGTCTTCTTTGCTTGTGCTCTTTGAACTCTTCATCAGGCGCGTGCACCGAGTCAAAAAAAGGTGGTTTCCAAAAGGTTCCGACCCCCATTTTGCAATAAGCTACTGACTGGATAAGGGAAGGACTTGGTGGGTGTCCAGTGTTGATTGGCGATCGCCACCTTTGTTTTATAAAGGGGCAGTGCGTGGACAGAGTTTCCACCGACAATTCTCGTCATCATAGAGTGTGCCAACGTCGGAAAAGTCATAATCTTCACCAAAAGTCAATCTTTTTGCAGCGGGCTCGTCATCAGTTTCGTCCTCTATTGTGAAACTTGGCTCGTCACAGTCTTGAACTTCAACTTGGCTGCTGCCTTCAGCAGTGCCGGTGGCGGAAGAATCCGACTCTCCGTCAGAAATTTCACGCTGTTTTTTTTCCCCAGAGAGCGGACAAAGTCTTCTGCTGAAAACTCATTGCCTTTGTCCTCAAAACCACAAACCTGAACAGTAATTTTACTAACAACACAAACAGCCGCTCGTACTCCAGTCCAAGACCAAAGCACCCACTTCAAGACCAAGATGAAAACACTGGTTTCCACTTTGGACATACATACATGTACAGGCGCGTGCTCGGCGATGGGCACGGGGGGGCACGTGCACCCCCCAAACATTTTCAATCTGGGTAATTGCAATTGTAATGTATGCAAATATGCTCTAAAATTCAAGAAAGGTTGCAAACAAATTGCAGAAAATTGCCGAGGGGGGGGGGGGGCTCCCCTCGGCTCCCGTGCACCCCCCTAGTTGGGGGGCCGAGCACGCCCCTGATGTACATGTATGCGACATGCCTACTGTCCACGCTTTGTCTTTGATGTCCTTGCACAAGCACAGTACACTGACAGTCTGTACAGCGTAGTCGAGTCCAGCAAAAAATACTGTATTTTCATCGCGCGTGAGTGGACATGTCACTAGCGCCGGTACCGTAGACTAGTGGCTGTGCCTGAACGCAACGTTACGTATAGCTCAGTTAGCTACGTACTGTCATGGACATGGAAATCCGGTCGATTGACCGGGGCCGGCGCCCTCAGCGCGTACAGAACGCTGCGTGAAGGGCACATGTTGATTCGATGCGACTATCACGCTGCAGCGCATAAATTGCATGTGTGTACCGCTTATCCACGGCTGCATGGCCAGCACCCTGGGGCCGCTAGACGTGCGACCGGATTTCCATGTCCACAACAGTAGGTCGAGCGCCAGTCACGTAGATGCATGCATTACGCACACTGTGACACTCTCTCTGTCTCTCTCTCTCTCTCTCTCTCTCTCTCTCTCTCTCTCTCTCTCTCTCTCTCTCTCTCTCTCGTTCACCTTCCCCGGCATGCGCGTTTTCAGATTCCTAAAGATGAGTGCACGATGAACCTTGCTGTGATTGACAAGTCAACTGTACTCCACGAATTTGGTCACGTGCTTGGTCTACTGCACGAACACCAGTCACCCATCAAGGGCATTGTGCTCTGGAACGTGCCCAAGGTGATGGCAGAGTTCACGGGGTCACCAAACTACTGGGATGAGGAGCAGATCCAGAGACAAATCCTGGAACCGTTCAAGGCGGATGATGTTACAGGCTCTACATACGACATGCAGTCCATCATGCACTATAGGTAAGTGTCTCCATGTAACTCAATGCTTTACTTTTTATATTTCAGGTGTAATCCTGATAATTCGAATCTCCAAATGCCAGGAAAAATCTTCTGATTATCCGGACATTCTAATTATCCAAACATGAACCCACAACACAATATGTATGTCAAAATGCTCCCATGTTCACGTAGAGTTGCGCTATGGACCTTAGATACAGATTTCACGGATACTGAACTGACCAGCACAGCCTGCTCATGCAAACTGAACTGATCATTACAGTGTATAGTGAACTTCGAATTACACTTTGCTTACTTCGAATTATCAGCACAAATCCCACACATTTTCTATGAAAGTGAAATCCGTGGAACTTCGAATTAACCGGACATGTCCGGTTCGAGGTTCGAATTATCAGAAAACTTTATGTGGGAATCGAATTGACAGAAATCAATCCTGGAAACACTTCTAATTAAGCGGTATGTTCGAATTAAGCCATATTCGAATTATCAGGATTCCACCTGTAAATAAAAAAATGAAGTGCTGCACTGTGTATTTCAGTATAAAAAATAAAATAAAGAATGGACTTGGATGGAGAGCCAAGGATAAATTTATATTAAATATAAAATGGACCAAGTAACTACGAGTTACGCTATAATTATAATGTCCACTAACACCACCAGGTACGAAACAATCAGCTCACGACACTGACCGACGGTACTGACGTCCTACAACTAACTAGCCGTTTAGTAACTGGTGGTGTTAGTGGACATTATAGCGTAACTTTTACATGTAGTTCCTTGGTCCATTTTATATTTAATATATATTTATCCTTGGCTCTCCATCCGAGTCCATTCTTTATTTATTTATTTTTTTATTTTTCTTTCTGAAATACACAGTCCAGCGGGGAACGGAATGGGAAGACTGAACCAATGGGGAGACATGACTATAGAGCGGGAAACCGGCGCAGCGTGTTGGTGAATTGGGCCTACCTCCTCCGACCATGGGTGGTGATTTGGGCCTACCTCCCCCGACCATGGGTCTCGGGATCAGCGGCAGGACCAAGCACCATATAGGCTGGATTAAGTTCATGCTTCGAGGTGAAATCATACTAAATATATTGGTACTGAATCTTCGAACAACTAGCTGTTTCAATCGTGTTCTTTATTATCAGCAGGGCTCTTAGTGTCTGGTTGAACAGATTGCGGTGAAGTCAAGTATTAGTAAGTGAAAGCATTTGCCAATCGGCTAAAGGCATCGTAGTGGGAGTCCAGTGCTAAAACCAAGTTCTTGACTCGATGCAAGGATGAACATATTATTATATTTATAACATATTAGTAAAACAGAGAGGTTTCAGGCTGTCCAAGAGTTTAAAAAAACACTTTTTCAGTTCTCTTATTGTTTGTTTAACTTATTAGTAGTTTGATTTCTTGACTTCTGTCCGTGTTCTGTACGTAAACTGTTGGTTGTCGTGCACAGCTTTGCTAAAGGGTTGATATTGAGCATTGATGGGAGGCCGACACTGGATTCTGATTTTCCCGTGATATCAGAGCTTTCACCGACGGACAAACTCGTTGTTGGGAAACTCTACGGTCCTCCTGGCACAAAGCCAGCACCACCAAAGGAAGAACCGCAGACTCTGCCTGAAGATGCTGACAAGTCAAAGAGTAAGATTACCCTCCCCTTTAATAAAACATTCATCTCCATTCCTGAGACAACTGCTGGCGACTGCTGGCACTAAGAATAACCCAGTTAACCCAGAGCTCAGATTGATTGGCTGAACTGATCCCTATGCGGTCAAGTCAACAACAAGGCATGTCTATATCGGCACAAAGCATCCAAGGCAGCGTCTTTTAACTGCGAGACGGGGGCTTTCCACAAAGGCAGATGACTTTGAGGCAAACCAGACAGAATTCTGGCACTCTCTGTTTTGCAGTTTATAGCACTACAGGATGGTCAGGTTCAGCCATTGAGCAGCAGCAGCAGCACTGCTATTTTTTGAAACTTTGACAATAGGCACTGTCTTCAAAATCCCTTGCTTAGCATGAATGAGATCTTACGCACTAGCTGCGCATCGCTCAATGCTGGTTTAGTGCGCTGAGCTGTGAATCATTGATATTTGCAGTAGAAGCACTTTCCGTTGCAATGGCCGTAAATCGTCCCAAGAAGTTTTTGTTTCGCTGGCCTATGAACTGAACATCTTACAAAGGCATTGATGGGGGAAGTGTCCCTATATATACAATTTTGTAATGTGTTTGTGAATTTGCTCCTACGTGCCTGATATTCATGAGTCTATGATGTCACACAGTCCCTGTGCACATGGTAGAACAAAACAGCTGGCTGCATCACCGCGGCTTGATAGAGTATATCAGCTGCTTGCTCAATTCCGTACGTACGATATCAACATGCTGATTGACTGCATCGAACCAGGACTGGAGCTTTGCGAGTGATTCGCACCAGTCTCGGAGAGATGCCATAAGGCCCAACTTCCTATTATTTTGCACTTTGCTGTTTCCTCTAGATCACATCAGCCCTGGAGAGGAAATGAAATTCACGTTCACAAGTGATCCAAAAGAAAAAAGAAAGTACACAATCGAGGTATGTGTGTGATAGATGTGTGTTTTCATGGGGGGGGGGGGGGAGGAGAGAGAGAGAGAGAGAGAGAGAGAGAGAGAGAGAGAGAGAGAGAGGTAGGGAGGAAGGGAGGGAGAGAAAGAGAGAGAGATGTGCTTCTAGACGTTCTGGGTACTTCCTCCGCGTCATTAAAATTGTCCCTACCCAGAGCGATTTTTCGAATTTAATTTGTCCACTCGAAGGGCAAAGAAATCAGCTAGAAATTGAGGCAGAGCATTGTCGACGGACCAAGCTTTAGTTTGTGACCTCCCGCTTCGCTGCACTTGCAGCTAAGGTTGACGTCTTCATCAGAGTTTGAGGCAGACCCTTCAGCACGGGCGTTCAAATTCAGGTCTAGAAACTTCGTTTTCATGCGATCCATGCCTCCAGGTGGCAGGCGATTAGGGCAAAGTAGCAATTTTTCAAGTACACTGCAACGACCTTCCAGCGAGATAGGGTAAGCAGTTTCGCAACTTCTGTCCTTGGCAAACGCTTTACTGATGTTGTTGGTGTTTTCAGACCTACTACATTCCCAGCAACATGCGCCACACGTAGCGCATTTTAGGAATTTGAGAACACTTTGTCCTTGCCATCGTCAACTTCAGAATTTAGAATTCAGGAGAGATACCAGGATTATTATACCCAAGCTTGCAGTCTTGATATATGCACACGGGAAAAATGTGGGACGGCACTAAAACCAGAAAAAAACGATACGCGCTCTGGGGCGGAATAGTGAGGAGAGCAATGGATTTGTTTGGTGCAGAAGAGAGCTCCGACAAAGTCTGAGACCACCACGGCTTCAGTAAAACGACGTAGACATTGCGCAGGAAGGGTCGCATTAATGTTCGAACACAGAAAACAGCGATTCTGACTGTCTGACTAAGACGAGAAACTCACAAAAATTGCGATGTGCGAAGCGACAATTTTAATGACGCGGAGGAAGTACAAGTTAATTCCGATAAAAGAGTCCCGTCAGCTTTGAAAACTAGGTTATGGGTGGATAAAACCATGGTTATATGGAGAAGTTCAGCCCGACCTGCACCTACAGTCACTCCTGCCCGGGCAGTTTAACAACCTCATTGAATGACGGGATGCAGCATGCATTTGGGACTGCGGAAATGTACGCTGCCAAGGCGGAATATCGTCATGAATGCGCATGTGGGATATGTACGCTGCCAAGGCGGAAAGTTGTGGTGCGTTCACGTGTCAAACAGGCTGGCCCGGCCAGGAGGTTTCTCGACTGCCTTCACTCAGGGTCCCAGTCAGCTTCTTGGATGTATGTTAACACACTAGGAATGCCCGCGACCCCAGATGGAGGCGGAATAGCTCGCTTTCCGGGTCTCATGCGGGTGAGAAATGAGCATTGCATGTGCAACCGTTGGGGGGGGGGGGGGGGCGTTAAATGTGTGTTCTGGACGATTTTCCGGTGTTTGTTGTTTTAACTGCTTAGACGACTGGCGATGAACCTGACCTGGCACTCACCCTGTCTGGTCCTGACATTGAAACACGTTTCATCGCTGCAGCCACTGATGGTGGTGAGGATGGTAACCCGCGTGTTGTGGACCATCTTCAACCCGCCAAGACCTACTATATTGTGATCAGGGCCTTTGCCAAAGGCGGAGCGTTTGCGCTGAGGATATCGCCGGTTTGTCTAAATATCAAAGATTGTACGAACTTAGAAGTTGCGACTTCGGCGGTTATCGTCATGAAGTCAGTCAAGTCAGTCAAGTGTCAAGTTCGGCAAGAAGCGTGTGTTTCTAGTTGGAACAATCAACTTCATCAAATATTGTATTATTTATTTTATGGCTCAAATCTGAGTCAAAGGTTATTCTAGTACTTGAAATAGGTATATTCAAAAAGATTTTTCCAGATCTTTTGTTGACAGTAGACCAAGAGTGCTGTCCAGCGCTGTGGAGATTTTCCTAGTACACCGTTGGTCGTGTAGTTGCAGCATAGCTGAGGTGACCGACTGGGTTTACTGTGTTTGCCTTGACGAATGAGTCTTGCCGCCAGTATGCAGCCTTGCATGTGTCATAGACGAGAATGTGTATGTGGGTAGGTAGACGACTGATCACTGCTGCCAAGGCCAAGGTCAAGGGTTGTCGTCCCCGTGCTACACATGTTACATGTTGGCTCTCTGTTTGTCTTCACCTGGACGCATGTACAGTTATTAAACCTGTCAAGGCGACCACTCGGATAAGGCGACCACCTGTCCCAGGAGATCACTGCAGCCAGGACCAAGGGATGCTATTTCCAGTCAAATGCCACTGGGATAAAGAGACCACCTTGCTACAGAGACCCCACTTTGAAAGTCCCTTGAGCAGTCGACTAGACAAGTTTCACTGTATCATCATCTTCAGCCAATGTTTGGTTTCCTTCTATGTAGATACATGCAGATTAAGCCAGACATCTCACTTACAATAATGTTCCAAGTGCCAGTTGAGTTCTAATACGTTCACCATGCATGCATACCATGACATGAAAATATAAATGTGTCTCCGTGCTCGCCATGTTATTTTATATAGAAAGAAAGCAAACACAGCAATCATGGCAAAGCGGAAAATAGATTTTTTTTACAGAAAGTGATCACAGTACAAGTATACCTGTTGTATAGGGCATGCACAAGGCGTTAGGGCATCGAAGTGGGCTAGCCAAAATCCGCACACACTAAGTAGTTTATTGCTCATTATGTAGCATATACTGTAACACGTGTAGTTTTCCTCACTGTTTATTTCTATTGCATGATTTGCATCAGGAGATCCCCTCGACAGGCCATCGCCTCTGGGAGATCCTTTAAATAAAAATACTTCTTTGAAGTAATTATAAATAAAATAGTTAGTTGATGATAATGTAACTATGGATGTAGCATTCGTAGGCCTTGACGGATTATGCTAGCATAATTTTTCGCATAATTCCTTCCAGAATCGAATAATCGCATAATTCGAGGCAAATTGCATACGAATCGCATAAAATTGTAATAATCCGCCTGTTCGCATCAAATTCCATACAGTTGAACATGTTCTACAAGTACAAGTACAAGTAGATGCACTAGGATAGTAGGAAGTAGGTTTACGACTCCCTTGGCCTTGATGATATGTCCAGTCCACTACAATCAGTGATGGTCGTAGCCAGGTCGGACGATGCATTGACCCCGTTGAACTTTTGCTACTAGTACTACAGTACAACCTACTCTACAAAAAAATTCCCTTGTTATTTTGCACAGAACCATTTTGCATTAGCAGCGTATGTGAGCATAATGCGGCATAATATGGTAACTTTTACCATAAAAACAGCATAATTCTGCAATTTTTTCAGCAATGCGAAAAGCATAATTTCACGAAAATATTAGCATAATCCGTCAACAAGATGGTCAAGGCCTAAGCATTCGACGCATCACCCAGTGCACACTAGTCACAGAGCAGCACGCATCACCGTTGTTACAATAGCTTCACGCCTAAATAGGCAATCATCATACAACTGATAATGGTTCAATAGTGCTCGCGTCCTTAAGGTGGCAGTCTGGGTTCGCGGCCCGACCGCATGAACACAGCCGTAACTTCCATAATAATTGATGAATTTTGCTCAAATCTTGACCACATACCCAGTGTATTTCACTAAGTCCAATGAAGTATAAATCAAGCTCACACATGGGAATCCGCAGACACAATAGTCAAATCTGCGATTATGCCGTACCACCAATACCTTAGACGCAATATGCAAACGCAGAAAGAAGCTGGGTAGAAACTGAGTGCTCCACAGGATTTCCTTCACATATACCTAGGTGCTAAGTGGAGCGGAATTTTGAAATCATATTCAGAACAAAGTACTCAAGCTGTCAAACAAAAATCATGCAATCGCGCAAAATTTAGGTCCTCGATCAGTAGCACTTTACTCAAAGCTACTAGACAAATATAAAAATCCATGACACTTAGCACCTTGATAAATGCTCACAGTTTCCAAAAATGTATGGTTTATGGGGTCTGTGACTTACAGGTTCTTCGCTACGCTGTCTAAGAGGTACGGGACTCAGTGGAAAATGGAGAAAAAAAGTGCTCTGTGCAAGTACAGATGGAGGTATGTCTGTCCAACTAGAACTTACTAGAACTTAGTCGAAGCCACCAGCTTCATATGTCAAACCTTCTTCCTCTTGCTGCTCATCCTGGATGCCTTTCCTGATCCTCCTTCGCTTCTTTCGTGACCTCTTCCCTTCTTCTGACTTCTTTCTGGCAGCATGTGCCTGTCTCTCACGGTCTAGCAGCTTGATGAGACGTGTCGTATGGTGTCCAGTAGGGAGGCCCATCTCGTCCAGAACGCGTTTCACTGCCACACCTCCATCATTGAACCAGGCCACGGCCAGGTAGACGCACATCTGGACAGTGGGAGCGGATGCAAAGCCTGTCTTTGGACACAACTGCCACACGAGTCCATTGAACGCTTCGTTGCGATTCTGCGTAGCACCCTTCTGGCAGCGCTCGAGCAAACTCCGGTCGGACAACCGAATGTAGACCGGCTTCAGTTCCTTCCATACTGCCTCTGGCAGGATATTGTGGTGGGCGTAGACATCACCACCTGCCTGTTGCTGCTGCCATCTACACCAGCTGTTAATTCCAGGCGGACAATACTGGTGCTGAGGTTTACTGTCGCTGGATGCACGATGCATGAGGGATGCCCATATGGCCCTGGCCATGGCTTGCAAGTCTCCGCTGTTGTTCCGCACAGCCATGCCATAGTAGGCTTGCAGCTTGTCGATCATGGCATCCGTGAGGCGACCACGTCCGCCTATAGTGCGCCCATCAGCAAGCTTCTTGCCCGCAAGGTTTTTCTTCAGCTTTCTTAGGCTGGTACCGATGCGTTTTTGAACGTGGCCGACACATTCCTCCTTGACTACAGGCACCTCGGGCCCATACGGACAAGCGTCACGCACAGCCTTAAAACTCTTGGTATCTCCATCACCAATGTAGGTGGTGTACCTCAGCTTGCGGCTCTCAAAGGACCTGGCCCACAGAGTCTTGGCGGCTGCACTCTCCATGGCAGGAGCTGATACAGTGGTGTTGACTGAGCAATCGTGTTCGGCAATCTGTCGATCATAGTCATCTTTGGTTAGCTCTCCCTTCTCTTTTCTAGACGCCAAGTGCGTGCACTTGTGGCAAAACTTTGAAAGCACTTCGCAGTCCACCACTTTGCCGACATCATATGCAATTATAGTGAAGGCTCCGAAGAGCGATGCGAATCCTCGGCGCATCCAGGTACCGTCATAGGAAGCAGCGATATCGCTACCCCCATCTGCTGCGGACACTGCTTTCTCAGCTGCCTCAGTCATGCTACGCTCAGCGACGCTCTTGGACGCGGAATGCAGGCCTTTAGCATGGCTGTAAAATGTCGACCGACTCATAGGTGATGGCATATTCAGTGCACCCGCCAGCTTTACCATTGATTGACGTCCACGGCCAATCAGTCGCATTCCGAATACTGCTCGTCTGTTCACCTCCCAGACCCGATTGAACTTCTTGGACATAAATTCGCTTGCTATGTCGCCGCAGTTAACACAGGAAAGCTCCAGGCATGATGCAAGGCCTCCCCGTTGCGATTCGCTGATCGTGACTGCGCCATTACAGCCACTGCAACAAACTGCAGCTGACAAAAGCTGCTGAAGGCACTCGAGATCAATCAGGCGAAATCCATGCGCCCCTTCCTCACACTCTTCATCCAAGTCACTGTCGGAGGAACTGCTGTCGACTTCACCGCCACTTCCATCACTATCGCTGTTTGAAGACGTGGCTTCAGCTGACACTTCAAGGTCGTCATCAGACAGTGGCAAGTCAGGAATTTGTTTTGCAGGCGAAATTTCACCAGAGGGAGCCTTCGGCGCCTGAGACACTCCATAGAACGTTCTTTTCCTTTTCTTAGATCGTCCGGGCTTTCCCTTGGCTCTAGACTTCCCCATAGTAGCCAACGAAGGGGTTAGCTCCAAGAAACAATTACTCCAAAACAATTACTCCAAAAGTAACTAGTTTCAACAGCAGAGCGATCAGCTGAGATCATGAGAGTCGAAATTTGAATTTTTTTGAATTTGCGCATGCGCAAAAGTTATCTTGGTTGCCATGGTGACAAAGATCGTGCGCGGCTGTCAGTCTGCAGCGCAGACAGCAGAGGAGTACCAGGAGTCGCTCCAGAAAATTTTAATGAAATCGCTCAAAGATTGACGGTAAAAATCGGAATAGTGTGCAAACCTAAATTTTGTAGAAATTTGCTGATATTTCAGTATTTCAAAAACAATTGTGCAGACTTTGCGCGGCTATATCTCCGGAAGGAAGCACCCGATTACGCTCAAATTTTCAGGATAAACCCTTTGGACTATACACAAGACGCTGCCAGTGAAAAAATACAGAAAATCGAAACTTTGTTTTTTGACCCTCTGAACCCAGACTGCCACCTTAAGGGGGCACATCACCCAAAAATTCGCTGAAAAATCGAATTTGTAAATTATTCATATTGAGTGCTACGTCAGTTGAAAGAGCATGAATAGCTGCAAATTCTCTGAAAACTGTGTCCCTATCTGATATCTGACCAGCCGTTCAAGAGTTATGGCCGAAAATGTGCCCTTGCAAGGAAAGATTTTTTTGTCGCATGCTGTCATTTGTCCAAAAAAGTCCAAAAAATCACGTTAAAAAACCACGTATTGGGCTGCACGGCGGCGGGCGAAGCCCGCCGCCGTGCAGCAGGACTTTTGCCAGCACCCTCGTGACGTTCCAGATATGTGGCTTGATTATTGTAGTTGACGTTGATTTAGTGACTTTGGCAAGTTTGAGTCGTGTCAAGAAGTCAGGTAGGATTCAGTACTAGGCAGTAGTGAAACGTTAGTGGCAGTCTTTGCCGGTTTCTGAGGGCATCCTGGATTTGGTGTGCAGCGCTGTGGAAATGGCTTGCTGTGGAGGTCCCAGCACTGGATGTTGTATCAAAGGTACGACCTCGTAGCACGTGCCAAACCTAAAAAAATTCAAAAATTGACTTGGGT